TTTTACATCTTCAGCCTCTCTGATTAATAGAATCAGGTAGAAGTCACCTTTAAAAGCCTCTGATTGGGATCATGGAGAACTGTTGCCTGCCATACACTGTTAGGACAGAATAATTTATTCAATTTTTCAAATTAACTGGATCCAGCTTTGGGATTATACAGTACTAATATGCAAAATAATTTGAAGATATGTTTTAGTTTTTGTGACCTGCCTAGAAGGTTGCATGCTCTCTCTCTGTTTTTTAATGTCAAAATCTAATTAGGGTAACTGTTTAGATCATTTCAGAAACAAGCCTCAAGGCTGCTACTTTTGCTTCAAAGAGTTCAGAGTTTTCATTGTGATTCTTTTTTTGATTTTATTCTTCAAAGATGTGGGCATTCTGGAACCAGAATGCCTGGGAAATTTTGCTGTCTATTTTTCTCCTCTACCCTAAATCAGAGAAGGTGCTACAGCTACTGTTTTGCATGCACAATGTCACAACTCCAATCTTTGGCATCTATAGCTAAATGGTGCTAGGAGATTAGAAAGACCTATTCTCTATTACCTGCAGAATAACAGATACAGTAGGTAGGCAGACATGATGGAAAACAGTTTTCTAACCTGGCACCAAAGCAAAAAAGATAATACAAAGCACCCAGCAGAAAAAGGAGGAATTGCAAACCACCCAACACATTGAACAGCAACCTAAGAAACAATGTGCCAAAAAGGGTTATAATACTAATGAGAAAAATTGAAGGCTATTAGTATGTATTCATCCAAATAGCTGAATACATTATGCTCATTGAGCTATGAAATGCACTGAGGATCCAATATAGTAACTGTAGATATGGACAGTGTGATCACTCATACTGTATTTACATTCATCTTTCCCTTGTTTCCAGGAAAATGCATGGGGTGGTCTGGTTGGTAGAAGCCAGAATGCATAGCTGATGTTTAAATGGATAGTCCTTGCTACCACACGTATCCTTCTCTCCTGCCTTCAGAATGCTTTTCCTCTTTGGTTGATGTTACTTCAGGGGAACCCTCCTTAGCCAGTAACTGTTCAATAGTAGCAATCCATTTATTTATTTATAATTATGCCTTTATTTGTTAGATTTATATTCTGCCTGTCCTTCAGGGGCTCATATAATGCTTCCTCTTCCCATTTTTCCTCACACTAACAATAACCCTGACAATGACTGGACCAATGTCACCCTGTAAGTGGACTTCTAGTCCAACACCTTGATCACAACCCCACACCTTACTGTACATAATTGCTACCGAAGGGAGGTCAGATTGCTATTGAGTTTCAGACAGGCAATAAAAGTTATACAATTTCATTAAGCCTTTGATAGCTCTTAATACTATTTGGGCTTCTTTTAAATAATGTTTTTAAATATTTTGTTCTTGCTTTGTATATTACAGTGCTATTTTAAATTGAACATCATTTTAAATGTTCCTAATAAACATTTTCTGGGGGAAAAGTGGCTCAGTGGAGAACTGTTACTCTCCAGCAACAAGCAGCATGAACTCCAAAAGGAGTTCAAAAGAAGGATGGAAATCTTTTGGGAAAAGATTTTAAAAGACATATGCATGCTTTTAATGGGGAGCAAAGCATAAGGTTAGTATCATCGCAATTGCTTCCTAGCTCTGTATTTGGGTACTTAGGAAACCTTTTGCCTGGAGCAGAGCTCTTGACTTCTGGGGTCTGCCTGTGTGTTGGGAGAATCTGTGCAGAGGGTTGGGGAGAAGGTGAAGGTGATGCTTGAGATTGTGGGTTTTGATCACTAGAATGAGGGTCCTCTTTTTTCTCTCTTTGTCCTTGATGTTTTTCCTTCTTTTTTTCTGTACCGCTGCAAAACAAAGTATAAAAAGGTGTGTGTGTGTATATATATATATATATATATTTATTTATAAATATAAATAAAATATTTTTAAAAAGCAAACAAATAGGGAAAAAGCCATTAAAAGTTAATCAGGTTAATTACAGAAGAACCAGATATTTAAATAATTTTCTTCATCCCGCTTTTGCATTAAGAACTTTAATTTACCTATTAAACAAGATGGATACTTGGTCTAAGTATTTAGTGAACAATTATATATTACCTGATCCATGGAATTCATCACCACCCTGTCCCTGTCTATATCATACTGGTTATGATAAGCTATATTTTTTCCCCAGCAACATTCTGTAGATTTCAAAAAACAAACTACAAATTAACTTTCAGCATTTCTATAATCAATCTTAAGGCAATTTATCAGAAAATATTCTACCAATATAAAATATATGAATATTATTATAATAGCCGTATTAGCAGCATTTTCTTGCAGGGACTAGGTGCTTTCACAATATTTATCTACAGTGAATCAAATATTATTTGTTTAGTTTTCTTTTTACATCCAAGTTTCCTTTTTGTCCTAGATGTGGATACATTTGACAGACACTTAGGTTGTTAAGAAATGGAGTGGCATATAAACAAACAATGACTTCCTACAAATAGTACTCCTGGGTTTTTTATTTACTATTCTACAAATTAGCACAACTGTAGAATAATTTCTCTTAAAAGAAAGCATACCAAATCCGATTATTTTACACCAAGTCAATGAAAATAAATTCTTATCATTGACATAACTGAACAAGCTGGCCAAGATTAATGGGTTTGAGTTCTTATAATAATGAGAGGATTACTTATTGCCCATCCCTATGCTGTATAGTTCCTCCAGTAGGTACTAAATCAGAAAATATTGAGATAAAAATTATGCTACTAGCTTACACAACAGCAATGAAAAATATGTTCCCCATGGACTATGGGGAACTTGTGAAATCTCACTATCTCGCTCTGCTTCCTTTCTAAAATCAAATGGCCATGTGCCTGAGAATTGTAATTTTAAATAAACAGTCCTGTTGAATGAAGTCAGTGGCCCATCTAGTTCTGCATTCTATGTCCAAGAATAGCCAAACAGATGCATTCAGAAAACACAAATATGGAAACGAGCTTGATAGCCTTCTTCCACTGTTGTTCCCTAGCAAATGGTTTGCACTCTGTTGTTCTGAAAGAAATAAACAGCCATCAAGACTAGGAACTCCTGAGAGCTTGATTCCCCTGAATCTGTTCAGTCCCCTTTCAGAACAATCTAAACTGATGTTTCCTATATCTGACAGCAACAGAGTCTGCAATTTAACTACACATTGTATATGGTATTTTCTGTTATTGGTTCTGAATTTTTCCAGTTTTAATTTGAATACTGGACACTGAGTTCTAATCTGAGAGAGGAGTGAAATTTGCTATTTTCCATACCATGGATGATTTCATACCCTTTAAAATATTTTCCCCATACTCTTGTGGTACAATATACTAATACAGAATATGCAAATAACATCTTGGAAGAACAATAAAACACACAAACTGAACACAAATACACATTCTTATTTTTCTTTAATATATACGAGTACAGGTAGGCCTCAATTAACGACTGCCCTGTTTGGTGACCAAAATTATGACAGTGCTGAAAAAGTAACTTTAAGACGACTGGTCCTCAAACTTAGGACCACTGCAGCATCCCCATGATCATGTGATCGCCATTCAGGTGCTTTGCAACTGGAACACATTTACAGCCATTGCAGCGTCCCGCAGTCATGTGATCACCATCTGTGAGCTTCACAGCCGGCTTCCAACAAGCAAAGTCAATGGAGAAGCCAGTAGTAAAATTGCAAGTCACGGTCATGTGATGTCACACTTAATGACCATGAGTGATTTGCTTAACGACTGCAGTGAAATGACACTGTAAGTCTAGCATGGTCACGTGATGTTTCGCTTAATGACTGTCAGTGACAGACTTGCTGGTCCCAATTGTGTTCATTAAGTGAGGACTACCTGTATATAATACTATATAGTTGTATACAGGTGAAACTCGAAAAATTAGAATATCATGCAAATGTTCATTTATGTCAGTAAGGC